CTAGGAAAGGCTGAAATCTAGGTGGACAATAGTTTGAAAGCCAGTCCATTTCGGGAAAATTAAAATCTTCAGCAATAATTTTAACTTCAAAAGCGGACTCTGAAATAAACTTGAATATTTCACAAAGATTTGCATCTTCTTCAGATGAAGAGTTAGGAGGATTATATACACAACCGATTATAGCCTTTTGCCGGGGCGACAAGATAATAAAAGCGAAACAGTAATTTCCAGAGAAGGACGTGCTATTTAGGAGAAATGGAAAGTGCCTAAATGACGTTCTAATATAGAGAAAACAACCATCACCACGCTTATTAATGCGACCTTGACGGAAGAGATCATACTCGTCTATGGTAAAGGAGGAGTCAGAAATGATTGGATGGGTCCAAGATTCTGTTTGCATATAACATCGGGCGTCATCTCAAAAGCAATAGCTCGAAGTTAAGTCATTTTATTTATAACAGACCTGGCATTGAGCACTATGACATCTAGTGTGTTTCGAACGGCGGGCCTATGGCTATCGTTATTCATAAAAAAAGCATTTGGAGGTGGGTAGGGGAAGCTCGTTTTTGGGACGTTTTCACCAAGAACAATTTGAAATTAATGGACAGTCACGCCAAAGCAGAGGTCGCCTTGCACGATATCAGGTTGCGCACTTTGCAAGAATCAGAATAAATATGTTTATTCAAACAAAATTTTACGTGCAGGCGTATAAACAAAGTCAAATATCAGATGTACAAACCTAAAATGGAAAAGGGTAAAATCGACCTACAGGAATACGGGGACTAGGATACTGCTGCTAGAAGTGCTATACCAACGCTTAAAGGGCTAATTCTAGTAATAATAATTACTAAGGGCAGTAAATGGTATACCTGAGTACAGCTTGTAGGCGCATGCTGGAAATCGGCACTTAGTTTGCAATCCCAAACTATATGGGCCAAATAATAAACTTATGGGTTAAGGAAACACGAGTCAATAATAGCTCAAGCTCTACCATGCCTTTGTATAATTAGTTAGTGCCCTTTGCCGTTTTCAGGTTGACTTTAGACTACCCAATGCATTTTTGTAATAAGCATATACGGCAGAATTTATTTGATCAAACAAAG